AGTATGAATTCTGGTGAAAATTCTTGTTCTTTAAGAATGTTGAATATTGGCCACTCTCTTTGGCTTGGGTTTTGCCGGGATGCTGTTGTTCTGATGGCTTTCCCTTTGTGTGTCGGGACTTTTCCTCTCTGGCTGCCCTTACATTTTTCCTTCGTTTCACTTTTGGTGAATCTGACCATTATGTGTCCTTGGAGTTGCTCTTCTTTGAGGAGGTCTTTGGTGGCGTTTCTCTGTATTCCTGGCAATTTGGATGGTGGCCTGGCCTTACTAGGTTGGGGAAGTTCGCCTGGATGATTTCCTGTAGGTTTTTCAACTGGTTCCATTTCCCGTACTTAGGCACACATCGATGTAGTTTGGTCTTTTCCAACTAATCCCATACTTTTGGAGGGCTTCGTCTTCATTCTTTTACTCTTTTTCTCCATTCTTCTTCTCGCTATTTTCTTCTTGATCTCATCGGCTGTATCTTTCTTCGTTGGACGGAGTCGTTATTGAAGCTGGGTGCGTTTGTATGTTTTCTCGGTGGCTATGGTTTCATCTCTATCGAGTTTTTAAAAGGTCTCTCTGCTTGTTTTCTAGTCATCCGAAAAAATGCAAATATATAATTTAATCTTTAAATTCACTTTTATAAAATTCCCTCTGACATAAGGCTCACAAAACATAGAAGAAACACTTCAAAATTAGATGAGGCAAAAATTAATACTGCCAATTCAAAGAATTCTGCCAGAGACATATAGCAAGCACTGTTTATGAAATGCAACAAATGGCGGAAACAGTGAATTTTTGACATTTTCACTTTCTACTTTCAAAAGGAAGCAAAATTAAGCCAAACTCACAAGTCTATTTGCCTGTATACAAATTAAAAACTAAGTATTTCCTCAGCCAACATGCTTAACAATTGCTAAGTAATGTTTGACCAGAACAGATAGGTAAGAAAAAATAAAGCCTTTATATTATAGAGTACAAATGTGTTTGTACTTACAGATATTGCTGGGGAGAGTGTTATATTCCCTATAGATACTTTTAATTCATCCAAAGAAGCCATTGTGTGATGTGAGTTATTTGGATGCATAGGCTTAATTTCTATCCGATACTTCTTTGGTTCTTCATCTTCAGAGTCAGAATCACTAGATGAGTAGAAATGGTTCTCTTTGGTATGTGAGTTTCAGTTAAAGAATTGTTTTAAAATTACCTTAGATGTATAACCAGTTTTTCACACATCTATTTTTAAAAAAGAATGAAACCTTTAAGAGTAAAACAGACTTTGGGCTGGGCGTGATGGCTCACACCTGTAATCCCAGCACTTCGGGAGGCTGAGGCAGGCGGATCACAAGGTCAGGAGTTTGAGACCATCTTGGCTAACAAGTAGAAACCTTGTCTCTACTAAAAATACAAAAAATTAGCTGGGCATGGTGGCACACACCTGTAGTCCCAGATACTCAGGAGGCTGAGGCATGAGAATCACTTTCACCCAGGAGTAGGAGGTTTAAGTGAGCCGAGATCTCACCACTGCACTCCAGCCTGGGAGACAGAGTGAGACTTCATCTAAAAAAAAAAAAAAAAAAAAAAAAAAAAAAAAAAAAAAAAAAAAAAAAGAGTAAAACAGACTTTAACAGAAATAAGATTACTAACTTTTATTATTAGTATGTCAAGGCCGGGCGTGGTGGTTCACACCTGTAATCCCAGCACTTTGGGAGGCCAAGGCAGGTGGTTCACTTGAGGTCAGGAGTTCGAGACCAGCCTGGCCAATATAGTGAAACGCTGTCTCTACTAAAAATACCAAAATTGGCCAGACATGGCACGCACACCTGTAATCCCAGCTACTCAGGGGCTGAGGCAGAAGAATCGCTGAAACCTGGGAGGCGGAGGTTGCAGTGAGCCGAGATTGTGCCACTGCACTCCTGCCCGGGCAACAGAGCAAGACTCTGTCTCAAACAAACAAACAAACAAAAAAACCAACACGTCAAATGACAAATAAGGAATCACATTTTATAATTAATAAAAAATTGGAAGAGGCTTTAAGTAATATACGATTTTCTTATAACTGCCTCCTTATATGCCAACATAATCCATAAGAATACCCAGATGATGAAAGGATATCATTCTGATTTGTTTCTGGTTTAATACTGTAGCCTTCTTCATCCACATCAGGAATGTTCTAAGGGAAAAAGAAAAAATTATGACAACTCCAACGTACAAAATTATTAGAGATTGTCAAAGTAGCCTCAAGTATTACTAAGGAACCAAACCACTTCTCAGATATCAACAGGTTAACAAGATGATTAACACTGAAGAAAAATTACATCCTTTTAATTAGCTTCAAATCACACTCCATGCTTTGGATATCTGAAAGAGGGAAAACCTGCAAAATGAAACAGGAGAAACACAACTCATAATTTCAGGGCAAGAAATCACCGAGGTGGAGACCAATTCAGATTGCTCAAAATCTACAGTTTCTGTTATAAATGAGGAGGAATACGTTAGTTTAAAAAGTACATGTGATTTGAAAGCTATTACCAAGTTAAATATTCTTTTTGCTATAAGCTCTATGGAAATATAAGATCTAGCACCTCTTTACACAGTTTAAAGTTTGGGTGAACTAGCGAAACTATCTAAGACAAACCATCAGTGTCTGCCAACATGCCAGAGAGTCACAACCAGACACCATGTGTCTCATGAGAGAGACAGGCCTGACAAAATAAAACAAGACCAAAAAAAACTCGAACCTGGATCTGATCAAGCCTCTAGATCCAAATGCCAATTTAAATAATATAAAGAAGTAAAACATAATACAGTATGGCAATATAATCAGCAAAATCCAGACTAAAGGAAACTATAAAACAAACCACCTAGTCTTGCCAATAAAAACACAGAAAGCGGACTGGGTGCAGTGGCTCACGCCGGTAATCCCAGCACTTTGGGAGGCCAAAGCAGGCGGGTCATGAGGTCAAGAGATCAAGACCATCCTGGACAACATGCTGAAACTCCATCTTTACTAAAAATACAAAAGTTAGCTGGGCACGGTGGCGCGTGCTTGTAATCCCAGTTACTCCGGAGGCTGAGGCTGGAGAATGGCTTGAACCCAGGAGGTAGAGGTTGCAGTGAGTCAAGATCATGCCACTACACTCCAGCCTGGTGACAGAGCAAGACTCCGTCTCAAAAAAAACAAAAACAAAAAAACCAGAAAGCTAAATAGAGAGGGAGGGAGGGAAGAGGAACATATAGATCAAGAGAGACTTAAGACATATCAACAAATTCAAACAAAGCATAATAAAACAGACATCAAAGATGATAAATATAAATACTGAACGGTTATTTGAAAATAATGAGTTGTAAATTATTTCTAGATGTGATGATATTGTGATTATGTTTTAAAGATAAATATAATGTAAACTCAGATGAAATTATATTATTCTAGAATTTGGGCAGAAGAAATGGATGGGCAGGATTAGCTAGGGCAAGCTGTTGTTGGGGCTGACTGATGAGAGCCCCAACATGAGAAACCATGATGGTATTTTTTATAAATAAATACACACACACACACACACACTCACACATATTTGTTTACAATTCTTCAAAATAAAAAAATAAAAATAATCTAGCTGGGAGTATTAAAACAGCAGAAGTAGCCTAAATATTATAACTCAGAAATTAGTTTTAACACATTTTAACAGCTTCAAGAAGGGTTTTCTGGTCACATTATAAAATTCCCATAAGTTGGAAGAACACTGCAAACAAGGAGAAATAACATACACAAAGACACAGAAAGATAAACATTCAGTTCAGGTGTTCAGAAAAAGATTTTTTTCAAGTTAAAGAAAACTGGGCATGCCTAAAAGCAGAAGAGGAGCCAGTAAATACTACAGATATCATATATATGTGAGATAAAATGAGAACAAGGTACTCTAAGAGTCAAGAAAAAACAGGATAAGACAAAGAGGCCCTTCCCTGTTCCTCAAGGACTAGGAAAAAATAAAAGTAAGAAAACGGGTATTTGGGTAGGAATGCCAGCAGTCTTGTGGAAAACCAATTTTTCATTCAAATCCTCAAAGTAAAGAAATAAAAAGCTAAGACTATATGTATCTTGGGGTGTGCTGTGGTGAAGCAAAAGGACTGAGTGTAAATGAATGAAAATATAAACCATAAGCAAAAAACAAACAAAATGAGAAATAAAAGACTACCAAGAAAATTAAAACTACATTAAGATACCAAATTCAAAAGCTTGAAAATATACTCTGTTGGTGAAGTTGCAGGGGAAATGCATATTCGTACTTTGTGGGTATTAATACAAATTGGCACAACCCCTACAGAGAAAAATTAGGCAATGTGTAACAAAACTACATATACATTCACTCTTTTACCCAGGAATCCCATTTCTAGAAATTCATCGTGAAGATACAGCTCCAACTATTTAAAAGTACATATGCACAAGGTTATTCATTAAAGATTGTTTATAACCTGTAATGATTAGAAATTACCTAAATGTCCAAGCACAGCTGAATAAACTATGGTACATACACAAAATGGGTAGAGACATCCCTCCATATCTGCAGGTTCGGTTTCAGTATTTGCACGTATTCAACCAACCGCAGAATGAAAATATTTTTATTTTATTTATTTAATGGCCTCAGGTGATCCGCCCACCTCGGCTTCCCAAAGTGTTGGGATTATAGGCATGACCCACTGTGCCCGGCAAAAATATTTTTAAAAAATAAAAAATAAGCTGGTTGTGGTAACTCATGCCTGTAACCCCAGTTCTTCAGGAGGCTGAGGCAGGAAGACTGCTTGAGCCTAGGAGTTCGAGACCAGCAATAGAATGGGCAATATAGTCAGACCTCATCTCTACAAAAAATTAAAACATCAGCTGAGCAGGGAGGCAAGCACCTGTAGCCCAGCTACTAAGGAGCTGAGGTGGGAGGATCGCTTAAGCCTGGGAAGTAGAGGTTGCAGGGAGCCCCGATGGTGCCACTGTACTGCAGCCTAGGCAACAGAGCAAGACTCTGTCTCTAAATAAATAAATAAGTAAACAAAAATAAAAACACACAAAACATGAATCTTTAAAAAACACAGTAAAACAACTATTTACAACATCCATTTACATTGTATTAGGTATTATAAGTAATCTAGAGACGATTTAAAGTATGACTTAAAGGATATGTGTAGGTTATATGTAAACACTATGACAGTTTATATAAGGGACTTGAGCATTCAGTGATTCTGGCATCCTCAGGGAGTTCTAGAACCAATCCTGCAAGGACACTGAGGAACAACTATACTATGCAGCTGTTAAAAAGAAAAAAAAAAAAAAAAAAAAAGCAGAAAAGTTCATATGAACTAATATGGAGTGATTATCAGGAAATACTGCTAATTTTTAAAAAGCCAAGTAGTAAAGAACATATATAGTACCATAACTTTTAAGTAAGAAGAGCAAATAAGAACACAAACAAAAAAGAGATAAAGATATCTGCTTATCTTTAATTTAAAAAAAAACTACAGAAAGGATAATTAGAACACAATAAAGTTGGTTACCTACAAGGAAGGGCACAGGAAAGAGGAACACTTCTCTGAATATGCTTTTGTGGTTAGATAAAGGAATATTTGAAATTTTGGGGCAATATATACCTTAAGTATTTAGAGACAAAGGGCCAGAATATATTTAATTTGTGCTCAAATGGATCAGAAAAAACATTATACACATATAAACACATGCACAAATATAGAGAGAATGCAAATATGACAAAAATAAAGGGCATACAAGTGTTCTTCATATGATTTCATTCTTGCAATTTTGTAAGTTAGAAATTATTTCCAAATTAAAAAAAAAAAAATTTAATGGAAAGAAAAGGCTGCCAAGGAATTGTAGCAAAAATCCTTTTACTGGTAAGGTATTCTATTCTTCTAATCACTTTCTAAAGCTCAGCAAGAAAGATAAGAAGAACTGTGAAGGCAGGCACAACCCAAGGTTAGGGAGAACTAAGTGCAGCATTTATGTGACTATCACTTCCAGACTAAACAAACAGTCTACTGTAGCTAGCAGTGAGTTAACAGATGGAATTAAAAACCAGAAATAAAAAATCTAATGTAGGGTGAAGAGCAGATTATACAGATAAAAAGATGACAAAGGCCGTGTTTTTAACACTGAAGGTAGAACACTTTCTCTTTCTACTGCTTGCTAATATGCAAACATCACTTTAAAATACTTTAAATATAAGGAAACTTTGCTAATTGTGAATCTTTTAGAAATCAGAATGAAAGGTTTTTTCAAAATACTTTGTCCCCATTCCAAGTACCCTAGAAACACACCAGGTATTTAGTCTCCTGGAGGTTCTATCTCAAATTTAACAATGGACTACTTTAAATTTGTTTAGAATACACTATTTGTTTAGAATACACTATATAGCACAATGTAATAATTTAATAACACCAAGCTCTTTTCTATATGGCTGAGTAAGCAGCTTTTAGACCAACCTCCTGCAGATTACAACGATAAATTCTGATGAAAACACATCAACAGGCCAGGCATGGTGGCTCAGGCCTACAACCCCAGCATTTTGGGGGGTCAACACAGGAGGATCACTTGAGGCCAAGAGTTCAAGACCAATCTGCTCAATATAGCAAGACCTTGTCTCTACTCAAAAATTAAAAATTAGCTGGGTATGGTGGCACATGCCTGTATTCCTAGCTACTTGGAAGGCTGAAGCAGGAAGGATCACTTGAGCCAAGGAGTTCGAGGCTGTGGTAAGCTAGGATTGTGCTACTGCACTCCAGCCTGGGCCACAGATCAAGAACCTAGCGCTATTAAAAACAAAACAAAACAAAAAACACCATAAACAACTATCTGGAGGTAATGGAAAATGACCTAGAGCACCTACTAAAATAGCTCTACAAAGTGAATCAATGAAAAACTCTATAAAGTCAAAATGCTATTCTAAAAAAAGGTTCAAATAACCTACACAAAGGCAAGAAAAAGCAAAGCAAAACAAAAAACAGAGGAACAAACAGAAAACAAAAATAAAATGGCAATCTTAAAATCTGACAATATCATTACATATAAATGGCCCAAATATACCAATTAAAAGGCAGAGATTGGCAGAATGAATTTTTTAAAACATAATCCAACTATCTGCTGTCTATAAGAAACTTCAAATATAACAATACAGTTAGGCTGAAAGAAAAAGGATCGAAACAATTATACCAGGCAAACATGAATAATAACAAAGGGTAAAAGAGGATGTCTTAATATTAGATAAGGTAGAGTTCATAAAGAAAATTATCAGGGTCAGAGAGGAACATTATGTCCACACAAAAACCTGTAAACAATTGTTTATAGTAACTTTAATAGCCAAAAATTGAAAAACAACTAAAATGTCCTACAATGGATGAGTGGTTTAGTATATCCAAAACAAGGACTACTACTCAGCAAGAAAAAAATAAACTATTCATACGTACCACAGCCTGGATAAATCCCCAAAGAACTGTGCTGAGTGGAAAAAAGCCAACCTCAAAAGCATACATATTGTATGATTTCACTTATAGAACAATCTTGAATTGACAAAATTATAGGAATGAAGAAAAGGTTAATGGCTGCCAGAGATTAAGGAAGGTATAAGGAAAAGTGGCTGTAAAAGGGCAACCAACATGAGAGATTGTTGTGGTACGGAAAATGTCCTGTTTTGACTGAATTAGAGTCAACATTCCAGTTGTGATACTATATGACAGTTTTGTAAAATGTTAGTGTCAGGAGGAAGGGGTAACAAGTACACAGTACTGTTATGTACACCATCTTTGCAACCTTCCATGCATCTTTATTTCAAAATAAAAAGTTTTTCTTAAAAGCAGTGATTCTCAGTGTACTATCTTTTTACTGCTAGAACTATTCATAGAAATCTGATATTAATAAAAGCTTACACATTACCTGTGTTCATCTTTACCCATTTAATCCATGATTTCTATATTAGGGCCCACACAGCTGCAGTGAAACCCTAGGTCAAAAGCAGTATGAACAAGAACAGAATAGGCAACTTCACCCATCAATCTTAAAGACAGTTATTTACTCTGGCTAAAGTGGCGGTGGCAATTTAAAAAATATATACCAGAATGGAGCTCAAGAAACAAGAATAAATGAAATGTTTCTTAATTTCTGTTTGGAATGGGGACATAGGCCAAAACCAAAAAAAAGAAAAAAAGAGCAATTATACTTCTTTGGCGAACTTGCAAAACATGCAGTTGCTAAAAGCAATTTTTTTAATTACACGGACCTTTAAAGAAAGGAATAAGAAATGAACAATAATTTCCCTACTAGGAGAGCTTATTGATGTTTTAAAAAATAATTAGTAAGAGAAAGCCATGAATAGGCCATAAGTTATTATCTATAGGCTACAAATAAAAGCAAATAACAAGCCTGGACAACACAGTGAGACACCGCCTCTACCAAAAACAAAAAAACATAGCCAGGCATGGTGGCATATGCCTGTGTTCCCAGCTACTCAGGAGGCTGGAATGGGAGGAACACTTGAGCCTGGGAGGTCAAGGCTGTAGTGAGCTATGATCGTGCCACTGAACTCCAGCCTGGGTGACTGTATTTGTCTGTTCTCACATTGAACTATCTGAGACTGGGTAATTTATAAAGAAAAGAGGTTTAATCGGTTCACAGTTCCACAAGCTGTACAGGAAGCATGGCTAGGGAGGCCTTAGGAAACTTAAAATCATGGAGGAAGGCAAAGAGGAAGGAGGCACGTCTTACATGGCCAGAGTAGGAGGAAGAGAGTGAAGAGGGAGGTAATACACACTTTCAAACAACCAGATCTTGTGAGAACTCACTCACTGTCACGAGAACAGCGAGGGGGAGATCCGTCCCCTGACCCAATTGCCTCCCACCCATCCCCTCCTCTAACAATGGGGATTACAATTTGACAACAGATTTGGGCAGGGACCCAAATCCAAGTAACATCAGCCAGAGAGCAAGACCCCATCTCAAAATAAAATAAGTAAAAAGAGTCTCCTTTCTCTACTGACCATTGCAATTCTTGGCCCCAAAGGTATCCACAATTAAAGTGTCTTGTAACTCATTCTTCTAAAATAAAGGTAACACATATATCCACATATTTATATTCTATTTTTAAAACAGCAATCACTTAACAGATCATACTTGTTTTTATGTAGTACGTTCTTTCCATATCAGCAGATACAGATCAACTTAACTCTTTATAATATCTATTACCCCACCAATTTATTTAACTGGTTCCCATTTTGATGGATTCTTTGGTGTTTCCAGTTTTTTGCTAATACAAACAATGTTGAAATAAATATCTATCTCTCCCTCACTTTCTATATATGCATGAATCTTAAGTGTGTGTGTGTACATATATATATACTTTATATATGTGTGTATGTATGTGTATACACACATACACACACCAATACAATGTGCATGTGTAAAGTTCTGTTACTATAACTGTAACAGTAAATTCCTAGCAGGGAGATAGCATGGTCAAAAATGAACTCACACTTCTTATTTGGGGCAATACTGCCAAACTATCCACAAGACGGACAGTGTCAATTTACATTCCTACCAACAGTATGAGCGTATCAAAACCTTTGCTGGCCAGGAGCAGTGGTCCACACCTGTAATCCCAGCACTTTGGCAGACCAAAGTAGGAAAATGGCTTGAAGCCAGGAGTTCAAGACCAGTCTGGGCAACACATCCCCAACTCTACCAAAAAAAAAAGTTTAAGAAATTAGTTGGGCATGGTGACATGTGCCTACAGTCCCAGCCACATGGGAAGCTGAGGCAAGAATATCGCTTGAGCCCAGGAGTTCAAGGTTACAGGATCACACAACTGCACTCAAGCCTGAGCAACAGAGTGAGACTTTGTTTCTAATTTAAAAAACAAAAAATTAAATTAAAAAATTTCCCAATATGATTAGACACTATAGTAAATTCATTCTAATTTGCACCAGAAGAACACCACTATTTTGAGCAATATTTATTATGGTTATCACTTTTATTTCTTTTTATGAAAATTGAGCATTTTTATCCTATGCCCTTTTCCTACTAGGTACCCACTTACTTTTTGTATTGATTTGCATATAAACTTTATAAATGAAAGCAATTAGCCCCTGTCACATGTCTTGCAAAGATGCTCTGCCAGTTTGTCTCTGATGATTCAAATCCTTTTATAAAGTACTTTTTCTAGTTTTATATATTTTTCATTTCTACACAGTCAAATTTATCAATTTCTTCTTATCCAGTATTAGAATTTTGTATTCTCTTTTGTATTCTGGATAAGTACTAAGTAAAGTTCAAAACTGGATAATATTATCATTATAAAATAGTATTAATTAGTTACTGAATTTAAAATGTTTTATTTAAAGGGAATATATATAAACTAAAACATGAAGTATTAAAGTTGTATTTAATTTTCCAATCATTTTAATGCTACAAATAATTCAGAAATAAAATGCATAAAAATAATGCAGAAATAAAATGAGTACTAAAGTTATTGCCAAACACATCTGCTGCTTTTCATTAATTAGTTAACCAAGGGTATCAAACAAAGTAACCAAGTGGTAAGGTAAATGTTGTAACTCCAAAAATACACTGATGATTTTAACCCCATAACTCATTATAAGTCTATTTCTTATTTTTCATATAAATTTGTTAACAAATCATAATTGTATTTTAAAGCCAAAATATAAAAAAAATACTAATTTATCTTAGTTAAGTAACATAAAATACAGTGTTTCACAAAATATTTTTAGTTATTTTGGTACACTATGATGCTGTAAAAGATCAAAATGTTTTTGGATCAAAGGAAACAATAGTTATGCAGGCAGGAACAATAAGCAAAGGACAGAGATTGTTTGAAACTCCTATACTTATCAACATGAACGGTATCTAATGAACAGTTTGAAAAATATGCCCATCTATACATTACTTAACAACATTTGGTAAATCTACTCTCTCACTGTAACCACAGGGAGCTCCAATTGATGTCTTCTTTAATTACACATAAAGAAATACATTTAATCAAGAAATATAAGCAACCCTTCTTTAAAACAAAACAAAAAGCACAGAAAAGTACCGACCATGGTTCTTGTTGCTGTTATTTCTAAAATGACAAGCTCTCAAATGAAACTCAAATGCATGCACAATGTCGTATTTTAATAGATCTAAGAATACATTAGTAAGAACACCACATTTTAAAATAAAGTATACAGATTTGATTTCTGGCATGTTTCCCAAGAAAAAGCAGTATGATATGGCACCACTCCAATTTTAAAAGTGAAATGTCCCACTTTTCAAAGGTGGTTAGAAATACTTTCTATTTAATAGGAAAGCATCTGGCAATGTAAATCCAAAAATACATCTGTAAAATAATTTTAATAGTGAATTTACAATATGATGGTATTTTTCTTTGAAAGACTGGTAACAACTCAACTCAAATACGTTAGGTTTGTCCTAATGAAAATAACTAATTTAAATTGTTTATATCGAAGTTAAATCTACTTACCAGTGAATCTGCATCAGGGCATTCACTATTAAAACAAAATATCAGAAATATTCAATAATTAGAATTGTCTGCTAATTATGCTTGTTTAAAGTCTTTACTTTGGTACTTAAACATAGCTTTTATTTAAACTCTACAAAAAATATTTAGAGAAATCAAACCACGAAGATTAAAACATACCAAATCATTTTAAAATTCAAAAAAGGCATTCTTATACCCATACCAACTGACAAAATAAAAAACAAACAGCTTACAAGTATTCCTTTTTTCTATCAGCTTACATTATGCTTTAAGGGCTTATAAGTATTCTAAAACCTATTTTCAAAAGTAATTCTTTTCCATAAATATACTCACACATCATTGACTTTAAAAAAAAAAAGTCATTATTAAGTGGCAAGTAGTCTGAAAACCTAAAACTACTGGAAAAAAATACAATTTTTAAACACTTCAGTTTCATTTGAAGTACTTTCCATAACTTAGTATACAAAAAAGTCAAAACTAGTTTTTTCCAAATATACTGAGTAGACTTCCAGTTGGATAACTTTCTTATGTAATGTAATATGTAGTTGAGAACTGAAATTCTATCATTTAACTGATAAACAAGCATTGAATTTGCAAATACACTAGTGAAAAGTATTATTTAAAATGTAAAACTAAAACATAAAGAAGACCTAAATATGTACAACTAAGGACAGTGAGGTCATAAAAAATGAGGTTGAATAGAAGTATTTCCATGTATGCACTCTAACATAAATTCACAAACAAAACTTAAGAGCACAGATGTAAAAGGCTTTTGGACCTTTAACTAATGACGGTTAATGCACACAATGCAGGCTGAGCATCCCTAATCCAAAAATCTGAAATCCAAAGTGCTCCAAAATCTGAGACTTTTTGAGCACTAACAAGATGCTCAAACAAAATGTTCACTGGAACATTCTGGCTTTGGGATTTTTGGTTTAGGAATGCTCAACTGGATGTATTCTGCAAATACTTCAAAATCCAAAAAAATCTGAAATCCAAAACACTTCTAGTCTCAAGCATTTCAAAGGATACGCAATGTGTGTCAAAATCTTATACAAACAGATAAACGCCATTTATCCAAATACTAAGCAAATGCCAGAAGAATCTACAAAATTGAAGAATTTTCTTAAAGGAATATAGGATAAAACAGACTGAAAAAATTAAAAAGGAGGAAGATGACATTGCTCTTAATCCAAAATGAAGTACCAAAGAGACAGGGTAAATGCGAAAGGTGACTTTCTTTCTTCTTCTTTTTTTTTTTTTTCATTTTTTCTCTAACACAGAGTTTCACTCTGTCACCCAGGCTAGATGGAGTTTAGTGGCGCCATGTCGGCTCACTGCAACCTCCGCCTCCCAGGTTCAAGCAATTCTCCAGCCTCAGCCTCCCAAGTAGCTGGGATTACAGGTGTGTACCACCACAACTGGCTAATTTTTGTATTTTTAGTAGAGATGGGGTTTCACAATGTTGGCCAGGCCGGTCTTGAACTCCTGACCTCAAGTAATCCACCCTTCTCAGCCTCCCAAAATGTTGGGTTTATAGGCGTGAGCCACTGCGCCTGGCCCCCCAGGTGACTTTCTAGCCACTTAAAAGTCATTTTAAATTGCACATTTTGAAATACAGCTTCCTTACTGGTAGATGAGAAACACTATACTTTAAACTTATGCATACTCTGAAGAAATGTTCCAGAAAAGGCATAATAATAATAATCCAATCCTAGAGAATCAAATTAATAAAGATGTTAGAACATTTCTACTTTCTTCTTTTTTTAAAAAAAGATGCAGTTTGCACATAAAAGGAAGTGTTAAAAGTTCCAAAGAGTTTACTCTCTGGCTTTAAGCCAAAACACTCCAGTCACTGGGGTAAAGTACTTATCTGTTTGCCTTCACAGTGGGATATATGAGACCTGCAGAAGAAGCTCCAGGAAGAGGAAGCTCTGAAAAGGGTCTGTCTCCCATAATTACTAGCATCTCAAAAGCCTTCTGGCTATGAAGAGGCATTTCAAGAGCCTCTGGCATTTCAGGCAAAGTGAATTCTAACATTTTTCCTGCCAAGAAGTTTGAAAGAAGGTGATGATGGTGCAGTGGTTTAAGCACTGGCTTTCTGCTCTAGTATTGCCATTGGTTAAAAAACAAAACCAAAAAACCACCCTAAGTGGCTTAATATCATATTGGGAAATTATTGATAAGGAAAACTGTTTTTAAAAACCTGGTTAAAAAATACTATAAGCTCCCTACATGAACAGTAATGAAACCCACACATTATAAAAATAATTTAAGGCCATGATTCTTTACAATACAGCCACTAACAGATGAACTAGATATATTTTAAAAACTTACTAATCAACTGATCAGATTTCAATATGTATTGCTAATATTATAAAAATAGATTAAGTTTCACCCCCTTAAAAAAATCCCCTTCATAAATGCTCAAGAAAGACATCTGAAGAAGATTTGATAACTATAGATATAAATCACTTTGCAATTGGTCTTGATTTGTTAACCAAATACTACTTGGGAGAGGGGAAGAGACAGCCATTTAAAATGAAAGAAATTCTAAGAAACTCAAATAGAAATATAACTAGGTAGAAAGCAAGAATACCCAAAGCACAAACTGTTCTCTTATGTTAAAAATATGAGTGCCCATCAAATATTAAATCTCATGAGAATTCCGTTGATTATGCTAGGGAAGTGCGGTCTTTAAACTAATTTTCAGTCAGTGTTGGTGGGTCAACAAATCACTCACGACTTTTGATCAGTGTCTCTTCTATCTAAATGGACTGAATAATCATGGAAAGAAAGATTTCTTTAATTCTAGTTTGTCTCTGAATAATCATAGCTCAATGATTCTTAACCCCAGGTATACATTAGAAATCAAAGGGGCTGCTTAAAAAAGAGCAAAAATTATGTTGAGGTTTCATGCCGAGAGAATCTGATTTAATTGGTCTGAGGTAGGACCTAGCTTAGGTATATTTACTTTAATTTCCCAGGTAGTTCTAATGTGTAGCCAAAGTAGAAAACAAACAAACAAACAAAAACTTTGGTTAGCTAATCTAACTCAATTTCTTACATATTTATTACATATTCTTTGTATATTAATTTTTTATTTTTAAAAGAAGGTAAATCAAGTCGGGCATGGTGGCTCAGGCCTGTAATCCCAGCACTTTGGAAGGCTGAGGCGAGTGCTTCACCTGAGGTCAGGAGTTCGCGACCAGCCTGGCCAATATGGTAAAATCCTGTCTCTACTAAAAATACAAAAAATTAGCCAGATGTGGTAGGCGCTGTAATCTCAGCTACTTGGGAGGCTGAGGCAGGAGCAGAATCGCCGTTAGATACACAGTGGCAGGCTAGCTATGCATCCTTATCTCCTGTTCATGAACAAATAAGGGAAGGGAGCTGCCTATCCCTAGCGGTGTCAAGCAGTATCTACAATGTAATAGAGCTGGCTGTACAAAAATCTGAAATTAGTATTGAAGGCCTGGCAGGTGGCTACACTTGTGTGCTTAATAAATAACAGATTTTTCGGCCCCAAAAAAAAACAGCCCGAAAAATATTAGGTGTGTTAGATTATAATATTTTTTTACACAAGATTAAGTAAACACTCGGGCATTTGTTTTTTTTGTTTGTTTGTTTGTTTTTGTTTTGTTTTTGTTTTTTGGTCTGACTGGAGTCCTCCGGCTGTGCTCCCCGAGGCTGGAGTGCAGTGGGCGGTGATCCTCGGCCTCACCTGCAAGCTCCGGCCTCCCGGGTTCACGCCATTCTCCCCGCCGTCAGCCTCCCAAGTAGCGTGAGACTTACAGGCGCCCGCCAACACCCAACGGCCCGGCAAGTTTTTTGTTATATTTTTAGTAAGCAGAGGGGCTTTCACTAATCGTTACGCCCAGGACAGATATTTCCTAGTCTCCGATTCTCCTGAACGGGTCGTGACATCCAACGCCGCCTCGTCCAAAAGTATGGGCTGGGAATTGAGCAGGGCTTGAGCCACCGCGCCCGGCCCCAATATTGTGTTGTTAAAAGTATACATTGAAGATAGCGTTTTCTCCCATTTGCAAAATCCAATGTTTAAGCCTTCCTAATGTCATGAACAA